AGACTGTAATTATTAACGGACAGAGAAAATTGTGAAAAAACGCATCTGCGCATGCAGAACGAGATACTTCAAACATTCACAGCAAGTAAACTAGAGTGGACCAAAAAAAATCACCCCCCTCAGCATTGACACACATGTGAAACGGAGCTTTGGGCCAAGGTCTATCCTGTAAAGACGTTTTCGAGAGGTCTGCCAATGCTATATGTTAGCATTGGCTAATTCTTCTTCTGGGTCCACCCCCATCGGCCCGGGGGGGTATTGCAAGCATGCCTTCTCTTCCTGCTCTCCTCGAGGTCAGACGTGTCTCTCCTGCTCTGCTTGCCCTGACTGTCTTTTTTCCTAGACTTCTGCCTGTATACAACTTGAAAAAATGATGGAATTAATGAACTGGTCCCTCAACGCAATTGATACTATTTTTTTCATCACGTAAAGGCGGTTCTGGAGATGCCGTTTGCCCGGATGGTACGGCGGCTGCTGGGTACGTTTTTTATTTCAAAAAGTTTTTTATTGAGCATCTTATACATCACAAATATTAAACATAAGAATTGAGGCTCAAACTTTTTTATATAAAATAAAACGTACAAAACAAAACCAAAAACAAACTAGAGCCCAACAATACAAGGTTTGCATAAATTGTGTATATTCAAACTTATTTATGTTCATGTAGATTGCAGAAATTCTATGAATGGTTGCCAGATGTTTGGATTTAGATTTATTAAGGGAAAACCCCTTGAGATGCAGCATCTCATTTTCGAGAGGGTCCCATGAACATAAAACAAACAAATACAATACATATAATACAGTACATACAAACAATTAACATTTATACATTTAACACACACAGGTTTGCTCCCTCAGATCCAACTCCACCTCCTACTATAAGAACACATTCAAAAAACATATACATCATTACTGTATACAATATAGTCAAATACAGGCCATACATACTGCGGGTGATAGAATAATACAACTTAAAATATACATCCAGATATTACACACAAAAAAAAAAAATATATATATATATATATATATATATACTATAATAATAATTTAAAAAAAAAAAAAAAAAAAAAAAAAAAAAAAAAAAAAAAAAAAAAAAAAAAAAAAAAAAAAAAACAGCTAGTAACATGCACAGGAAATGGTAAGATATCTAGACAATTCCAATTTAAATAAGCCAAAGGAGGTTAAGGATCTTATGTATGTGGGTAACTTATTCCAATCAGATGGAGCCTTGTATGAGAAAGCTCTACTTCCAACTTCTTTATGGATTCTTGGAACAGAAAAGGTGAGGGAGTTAGTGCTTCTTAGTGAATAGGTTGGTGAATTGGGGACAAAAAACAATTCTAAATATTGAGGACAGTTAAAATAAATACATTTGTAAATGAACTTCATCCAATGAAAGTGACGTCTGTGGTTAGGTTGCAACCAGTTCAGTTTTTCAAATAAAGTGCAGTGATGTGTTCGGTAAGGACATTTAAGGATGAATCTGCAAAGACAGTTGAAGAGTGTATTTAAAGGTTTGAGGTATGAGTCATATGTGTTTTGGTAGATGGTGTCAGAATAATCTATGATGGGTAGAACTAGTTGTGTTATTATTTTCTTTCTAACTTCCTGGGTGAAACAGTTGGATGAACGAAACAGGGGACCCATGGTGGCGTATGTTCTTTTAATGATGTAATCAATATGGGGTTTGAAATTAAGCTCTGGGTCCAGCCACAAACCAAGATATTTAATGGATTCAGCTCTATGCATCTTTGACCCATCACTGAACTCTATATGGAGGTCGGGGGAATTGAGAAGTTTGTGATGTGTACCGAAAAGAATACAGCATGATTTTTTCATATTGAGAATTAATCTGTTATTATAGAGCCATTTTTGGACTGAGTTAAAGGCAAGCTGCAACTGATTCTGAAGAAATGGAAGATTACCATTAGATGTGTAAATGACTGTGTCGTCAGCGTATATATTTATTGAACAGTTTGATATGACTTGTGGAAGATCATTGATGAATATTGAGAATAGAAGGGGACCTAAAGTGGAGCCCTGGGGCACCCCTTTCTCAATTATGCATTTGTTGGACTGAGAGCCATGTGACACAACATATTGAAAACGGCTATGGAGATAGGAATTAAAGAATAAAATGGCGTTGGTATCAAGACCTATTGCGTAAAGCTTGTCAAGCAGTAGGTAGTGATCTACTAGGTCAAAGGCTTTGGAGAGATCAAGGAATATGGAGCCCACATACATATTTTGGTCAAAAGAAGAAAATACATCATTTGTAAATTTTAGCAGAGCAGTGGTGGTTGAGTACCCTGTTCGAAACCCAGATTGAAAAGGGGACAATATATTAAAAACATTGAGGTAGTGATATAACTGTTGGAAAATCAATTTTTCAAATAACTTTGCAATTGCACAGATAATAGAAATTGGCCGAAAATTGTTTAAGTCAGTCGCATCTCCTCCTTTAAAAACAGGCGTGACTCTGGCCGTTTTTAGGACAGAGGGAAAAGAAGATGTCTTTATAGACAAATTAAAAATATCAGCTAGTGGGAAAATTAAAATGTGAGCAGCAATTTGTAAAAATTTTACATCCAAGCCATCTGGACCGGCGCTACAGTTTGTTTTCATTTTGGTTAAAGCATAATAAACATCCATGGGTAAAATTTTAGAAAAGGAGAATGAGGTACCTAAACGAGATTCAGGATTTCCAGAGAGAGGCAAGTACTTTGGAATTATATTGCTGATTGAGGTAAAATGTTGATTAAATGCTTCAGATATCTTGGAAGGATCTGAAATAGTTTCATTATTAACAACCACATGATCAGTAGATTTACTTTTAGACTTATTTAAAACTTGATCGAGTTGAGCCCAAAACTTTTTTGGGTTATTCAGATTTAGTGAAAACCCCTCTTTATAATATTCAGATTTGGCATTCCTGGTCTGTGTCTTACAATGGTTTCTAAGAGATCTATAGGTTTCCCAATCAACAGGATCTTTAGTGGTGTTATACTTATCCCAAGCATTGTCCCTCTCTCTACAAAGATTGACAAGTGTCGGGTTGATCCAAGGAAGATGTCGACCTTTTACACGTAATGTTTTCAGAGGGGCATGCTTGTCGATAACTCTGCTTACCTCAGAATGAAAATAATTCCATGCGTCCTCTGCATTTGGAATTAACTGGAACCTGTCCCAATTAATATCTATCAAGTCATGTATGAATAAGTCAATGTTCATTTTCTTAGTTCGTCTAATTGTAATATATTTAGGAGGATTTTTTGGCATTCGTATTTTCCACACACAGAACACAATGGAGTGATCGCTAAAGCAATCAGACATAACTCCTGATAGTGAGATTCTCTCAGGGTGAGTTACCAGTATCCAGTCTAGAAGTGAGGAGGAGTTCTGAGCTACTCTGGTGGGTTCTGTTATGAGTTGAGTGAGATTAACACTGTTAAGTAAGTTCCTTTCACCAGAGGAAGAACGGTGAAGCCAGTTACTATTAAAGTCACCCAATAATATCATTTCATTTTGTTTTTTAAAAGAACTAATAGTAGCTAGAATACATTTCATTGAGTCAGCAGGGGCAGATGGGGGTCTGTAGATATTTGTAATAGTTAAGTGTTTGTTATCATGAAAGTAGATATCAATAGACAAACACTCAAAGTGAACTGGCTCAACTGTTGGATAAATACGTACTGATTTTAAGTTGGTGGATACATATGTTGCTACCCCACCTCCTCTTGAGCCTCGATCCGCTCGATACAAAACATAACCATTAATTACTAACTCTTCATCCAGAATGTTACTGTGGAGCCATGTCTCAGATACGGTAATTATATTAGGTTTATATTGATGAGCCCATAATCTAAGAGAGTCCATTTTTGAAATAATACTCCTAATATTCAGATGAATAATCTTCAGACCCTTAGCGGTCTCTATCATTTACTATTTGATACAAAATAAAGAGCAGGTGGAGGAGCAAACATGGAGGAGCAAGAACATACCAGACAGACAGACACACAAACATACAGACAGACGCAGACACACAAACACATAAATAGAAAAAAAAAGAACAAGAGAACATGAGCCAAGCTCAGTCTGCATTTAGTTTCATTAACAAATGCGTTGAAGGCCTTAACAAGTTGCACATAGAAAGCCTTTGTATAAACTAAAATTAATAACTCAGACAGTAATCATTTAACTAAGAATTATCAAAATTAGAGAAACGCCTAGAGCATCTAGATAAAGTACATGATAAGAAAATAATAATAAGAGTTTCCTCTATCGTTTAAGTCTCGGTGACGTCACTTCTTTGCGACAACAGAACAACACTGACAGTAGCGATTTACGGCAAACAAAAAGCGAATGCAACAAGCAGCTCAGACAACAGTGATTCATGGTCACATATCAGCTTTATCAAATGGAGAAAAAACAACAAAAAGTGTCAAAGAGACGTTGCACTGTTCCGTGGGGAAAAAAAGAAAATAACAAGATACAACCAGTGGAATGAGGAGAAGTCACCGTTTATGAAGATCCTCTCTTACTCTCGAAAAACTTTTCTGCATCCTTGGGACAGCGGAACAAAGTTGACTTCCCATCAACAGTGACACGAAGCGTGGCTGGATACTGGAGAGCATATTTGATGTTCATCTCTCTGAGTTTCGTCTTGATGGGGTCAAACAAACGCCGCTTCTGAAGAAGAGCTGCACTGTAATCCGGGAAAATGTGCACTCGCGAACCTTCAAACTGCAGCTCTCCTTTATCACGGCCCAGTCGGAGAATCTTCATCTTATCTTGGGCATTGAGGAACTTGACCAATATAGGTCTGGGCCAGCTTTTGGCGTCAGATTGTTTTGTCGTAGGAGTACGATGCGCCCGCTCAATGACTGGCGGTGCAGAGAAGTTATCCGCGCCGAGAAGATGAGGAAGCAACCTCTGAATGAAGACAATCATGTCAGAACCCTCGGCTTTCTCTGGAATCCGCAGAAAGCGAAGGTTAGATGAACGACTTCTGTTCTCCAGATCTTCAACTTTGTCCCTCAGGTAAGCGTTTTCCTTCTCAATACACGTCACTCGGGTTTCCATGCTGGTTATATGGTCTTCATTGACGCTTACTCTTTGCTCCATACAAGACATCTGCTCGTTCATTGTAGCCAAAGATCCCTGTATATTAATCAGCGTCGATTGAAGTTCGCCAATCTTGGAGTCAAAGTAAGTTGTCAAGTAAACTTGCATCCGCCCGAGAGCCTCGTTGATGTCTGGAGCATTAGCCATTGTGGAGAGTAGATAAGTTCTCACGGTAATATAAACAGACAGTGTATATGCAGATATATGTGAATTGTTAAATGGCAAAATGGATAGAGGATTATAGTGATCACATCGGCCTCTAATAAATTAAATCAAATGCAGACCTGCTCCGCAAACTTTTCACACAGCTGCACGTGCGGCCATTTGAAAGTTAGATGGCTGCACACAGTGAAATGATGTTCTGAAATGATGAAATATTATCTTTTAATAAATATCTAATTCTTTCTAGGTGTAATGTATTTGACAAGTCCCGCAGCCACACCTTAGCATTTGGCACGGTCGGTCCCTTCCAAGACATGAGTAGTATCTTTTTTGCGGTTATGAGAGAGTAGGAGATAAACCGACGTTGTGCTAGAGTGAGCTGTCGAAACCGCTGCGAAGTTCCAAAGATGATTAGCAGAGGGTCTGGGAGCAATGTAAACTTAAGAGTTTTTGACAAAGTATTAAATATTTCAGACCAATAAGTAGTAAGTTTAGGGCAGTTGAAGAAGGCATGGAACAGTGTTGCATCAGAGGACAGACACTTATCACATGTTGATGATGTGTTTGGGAAAATATTATGGATTTTAACTTTGGAGTAATGGAGTCTATGCATGATTTTGAATTGTATTAGACAGTGTCTGGCATTGTTGGAGCAACTGTGTATACATTCAAGAGCTTCTTCCCAGATATCATCAGGAATCTTAAGGCACATGTCTTTCTCCCAACTTTCCTTATATTTATTCGAAGAGGGGGAGTTAATCATCAGTAACTTATTATAGATGATGGAAATGAATTTATCTTTGCTTGCAGGTGTGTTCAAGCAGTCATCAATGATGGTCTGTGTTTCATTTTCAAAACTTATTGTATATTTACGTACATAGTCCCTGACCTGTAGATACCTAAAGAAATTGTTGCTATGCAATTCAAATTTTGCCTGTAATTGTGCGAATGTAGCAAAGTTACCATCAATGTATAGGTCACGGATGCAGTCTATCCCCAGTCTACTCCATTCGTTAAAGGTCAAATCTAAAATAGAAGGGGCAAAGGACGGATTTTTTGCGATTGGTAGTGTATGGGGGATTGTTTTGTGGTCGAAATGGGATTTGATTTGTTTCCAAATACGAATTAGGTTGTGTATAATCGGATTTTGATTGTATTTTGATTTGTCAATTGGGGTTGGTGAGAGTACTATAGCAACAGGTGCATATGGATTACAATCTTCAAGTTCTAAATTTAACCAGGTGGGAGGGTTGTTTGAAGTAGTCATGAAAGAGTTTATATTTTTGAAGGCACATGCCCAGTAGTACATTATAAAATTCGGAAGGGACAGACCCCCATTTACCTTAGGTTTGGTTAAGTGTTTTTTCATAATCCTTGGGGTTCTGTAATTCCATAGGAATGGTTGAACAATCGAGTCAATTTTCTTGAAGAAAGATTTTGTGAGAAACATGGGGATATTCTGAAACAAATACAGGATTTGTGGTAGGAAGACCATCTTAATAGCATTTATCCTTCCTAGTAAGGATATTGGCAATGTTCTCCAAAACTGAATCTTAATTTTAAGTTGATCCAATAATGGTATAAAATTCGACTTTATGAGTGAGGTAAATTGTTTTGTAACCACTATGCCTAAATAAGTAAATTTATCAATGGATACCTTGAACGGGAATTTTGATAGCGTTGTTTGAGGAATTGGGTGGATCGGCATTAATATACTTTTTGTCCAGTTTATACGATAACCTGAAAATTTCCCAAACATTTCAATTTTTCCTAGAATGGACGGAATTGAGAGGTGGGGTTTAGTCACATACAGCAGAATATCATCAGCGTATAACGAGATCTTATTATTTGTAGCCTTAGTCTGGTAGCCGAATATTTGAGGGTCTAAACGTATACTTTGTGCTAATGGTTCGATTGCGAGAGCAAAGATTAGTGCTGAAAGGGGACAGCCTTGGCGGGTCCCTCTGTGCAGATTAAAGTATGTAGACAGGTTTTGATTTGTGCGAATTTGGGCTTTAGGGTTAGTGTATAGAAGTCTAATCCCATTTATAAACTTCTCACCTAAATTAAAGCGTTTAAGCACTTCAAACAAATATTCCCACTCTATCTGATCAAACGCTTTTTCTGCATCAAGAGTCAGAATAGCGAGATCATTATGTATTCTCCTATCAGTATATAAAATGTCAAACAGTCTGCGCAGGTTGGATGTCGAGTTTCTGTTTGTTATAAAACCAGTTTGGTCGTTATGAATTAGCGATTCCATTAGAGGGCTTAATCTATTGGAGAGAATTTTTGCATATATCTTATAGTCTATATTTAATAATGAAATTGGCCGATATGATCCAACATTTAATTCGTCTTTATCCTTCTTATGGATAACTGTAATTGTTGCTTGAGTAAGAGTAGGTGGTAGTGTGCCATCTTGTAAGGCTTGTTTATACATTCTATGGAGATATGGTATGAGGATATTACTAAACTTTTTATAAAGTTCGACCGGTATGCCATCTGGACCAGGTGCTTTACCACTTTTAATGGTGGTAATTGACTTTTGAATTTCTGTCGGGTGGATATCAGTATTTAGTTTATCTAAGTCTATAGAAGAGAGACATGGTAGGTTACATTTATCTAGAAACTTGGACATGACATCAGGATCAATATTGCATTTGGAAGTGTATAAATCAGAGTAAAATTGTAAAAACGTTGTGTTTATATCTTTAGGTTTAGTGAGCAGATGGCCCTTATCATTTTTGATTTTGTGAATAGTTCTATCTGCTTCCATTTTCCTGAGTTGTTGAGCTAATAATTTATTTGGTTTTTCACCAAATTCAAAGTATTTTTGTTTGGTAAATAAAAAGGCTGATGTGATTTTCTTTGAGAGAAGTTGGTTGAGTTGGTATTTTAAGTGTGTTATTTCTCTGTGTAAATCAGGGGTGGGGGTTAATGCATTTTTGTGATCTAGTTGCTGTATCTGTTCCTCCAGTTGTTTGTATTGAGTAGTCTCGTTTTTCCTTTTAGCAGCTTCATATGAGATGACACATCCTCTCAGATAGGCTTTAAAGGCCTCCCATAGGGTAAATGAAGTGATATCTGGTGTATCATTTATCTCAAAGTATAAACGTATTTGAGTCTCTATGAATTCACAAAACTCCTTTTCTGTAAGTAACTGAGGGTTCATTCTCCAAGATCTGCTGGGTGGGTCCATGCCTTCCAAATGTAAACTAAATGTCAATGGGCTATGGTCAGATATTGTGATGGGATGATATTTAGAATCCACTGTGAATGGGGCCAATTGTGCGTCTATAATAAAGTAGTCAATCCTGCTGTAAGAATTGTGGACTGGTGAGAAGAATGAGTAATCTCTTCCTGATGGGTTATTGAGGCGCCATAGATCTAATAAATTCATATTCACGAAATATGCATTCAGAAAAACACTTGAGTTGCTCTTGGGTGTTTTACGTGTGGCTGATCTATCAAGGTATGGATCTAATGGTGTGTTAAAATCACCACCTATTATCAATTTCGTTAGTGATATATTGGGGATTAAACTGAACACTTTCTTAAAGAATGTTGGATTATCAGTGTTCGGTGCATACAAGTTAACTAGTGTTACTGGCGTGTTTTGGATCTCTCCAGAGATAATGACATAGCGACCTTCTTTATCAGTTATAGTTAGTTTATGTATAAAGGGCACCCCTCGCTTAATTAGTATGGCTGTGCCTCTTGATTTAGCAGAGAAGGATGAGTGGTACACTTCTTTTACCCATTTCGCTTTCAGTCTATTATGAGAATTATTCTTTAAATGAGTCTCTTGTAAGAAAATAATATCTGAATGTAGGGATTTTAAATGGTTCATAACTTTACCTCTTTTCACAGGGTTGTTTCCACCTCTTATGTTCCAACTAGTAAATGTCAATCCTCTTTTAGCACTTTGAGAATCTGTCATGTGACATATGGAAAAAGAAATGGAATATGAGTAAGAACATCATTCAGAAATCTGTAATAAGGCGATATTACTTCTACACTTGTATAAACAACAGGATTCTGCATTTTCAGGGCTGTGAACAGAATGAACAAAAAAGTAAACAACATAAATATAAACACCTCTGGCTAACACTAGGTAGCCTCAGGAAATGTCACTGGGAAGCGAGAAAGTAAAGCAATAAAAATAAAAAATAAACTAACTTCCCTGTTGAGTAACTTAACTTGCTAAGACTGTTACTCTCTGTGGGGGGTGGCCCGTCGAGTCTATAAAGTTACGGCCATTTGTAAACGAAAAACAAAACAAAGGGGATTACTCCTAACCTGGAGTTCGAAATAGTGATAAACAGCTTCATTATTATCATTATATTATATTATAATATAGTAAACTTTCGTGGTTATAGCAAAATACAGTAGAACTTGTTCCCAATAAAATACAGTAGAACTTGTTCTCAGTAAACTACAGTATAACTTGTTCTCGACTACAATACTGTATAGCGTTATCATACCAAACATCAATAACATAGTATGAGGTAGTAAAACAAAACAAAAAGTTCCTGAGCGATTGTCATTACTGTACTTCAATTCGCATCACATTGCTTCTACTATCTGGGGACGCGCCGAGCCCGTGAGACGTTCAGCATACTCCTCAGCCTTCTGTGGGTCGGTGAAGGATAGCTGGGAGCCGTTGTGTGTCACCAGGAGTCTTGCAGGGTAGAGCAGGCCATATCTGACGTCTGGTTGATTGCGTAGTACTTGTCTTGCTCTGTTGAATAGGGCCCTTCGCTTAACCACTGTGGGAGGGTAGTCGGGGAAGATTCGTATAGTTTTGCCTTGATATTGGAGGTTTTTAATCGTGGCCGCTTTGCGAAGGATCTCTTCCAAAACGTGATAGTGGTGAATGCGTATAACAAAGGGACGTGGGGGCTCAGATGGACTCGGACGCTGTCGTAGAGTTCTGTGAGCTCTGTCAATCATCGGTTGTTCATTTAGTGCGAGGGCATCCTTCAGTAAAGTGGCAATAAAGTCCCTCGGTTTTGTCATACCTAAGCCCTCACAAATACCAGTGATCCTGATGTTATTCCTCCGCGAGTTTCCCTCCAGTTCTTCATTCTTTCGTTTGAGTGTAGCCACATCAGAATTTAGGCTAGCCACTTGTTGCTCGAGCTGGCTAATGCTATCGGAATGTGCGGTTGCGGCCCGTTCCATATCAGCTGCTTTGTCATGTAGCTTCTGAGAATTAGCTTCGATGCTAGCTATGGATGCTTGGACGGAGTTGTTCGCCATTGTTATCTCTTGCCTCAAATCGTTATAAACGCGTTCAATGCGTCTGTCTACATTCGCACAAATGTCATCTTTCATTTTGGCCATTTCACCTTTGAGGGCTGTGATGGCCGCCAATACGGCTCGGTTAGAGGTATCTTCTTCGTCATCAGTGGATTCCTCGTGGGCGTCCATATCACGCGAGCTCGGTGTCTGGTCGGGGCCTACATGGGCTGTTTTCTGCTTCTTGCCTTTTCCTGGCATCGTGTTGAAATAACCAGTCAGAAGTGAAGCCTCGACGTCGTAGTGGTAGAGGCGCTCCCCTTCGGTATAAAATTACTTGCTTATTGGCCTTTGTATAAGTTTTTAAAGGATTTTGCGGACGGAGCTCTCACAAACACGTCCTACTCCTTCATCGCTCAGTGGCGCCCCCCTGGGTACGTTTTTGACAACTGGCAAAAGTGGCACCCCGTTTGTCTGTCGGGACTGTCCATCGAGGACATTGAGGATATATACATTTTTGGATTTATGGTAGCAGGGTTCCTCCTGATTGGATTTGGAGTTGGCTTGATCTACCGCAAAGTTGGAGGGCTGTCCACTCAGAAGATTTACAAGCGGCTGTCCGCGGAAAACAAGGAGAGTTTCCGCGAGTTGGTCAGAGTCGTGGTCGAGGGCACAGTGGGGACACAACGGGGTGTGAGTCGGATCGAACATTCCCTTAACGACCTGGGAGTGAGATCTTTGGATGGACTTAAACGCGTGGAAGGATTGATTGAAGGACTTGGGCCTCACGGTGGAACCTCGTACTGACGTGGTCAACTCCGGATAACGGTGAACGGAGGGTCCAGTTCCAGTATAATTTGGACATATTGGCTTTAGTTTACACTGCCTTTCATTGATCAGCTGTGCTCAAAGTGCTTATTCAAATTTCCCACAAGGGCATGTGTTGTTTTGTCTCCAATGTTTGCAGGCACCTGCGCTATCTTTGTCCTTCACATTCCACCACCACACACGGCCACTCAAGGCTGACACTGGACTCTTATCTATCTCAGACTCACAACTCAGAACACCAGTTACAGTCCCCCCCCCCCCCCCCCCCCCCTACATGTCTGCCTCTCTCTCTTTTTCAGTCTATGGTGGTCTTCCCCTCCACCTCCCCCACCCACACTCCCCTCTGACGCGCTATATTGGACGAGGCGGGCCAGAGTGATGACTTCCCATTAAAAAGATCCGCATGTTTTTCCACATGTACCGTGTCTCTCCCCATGTTTGTTGAAATATATGTCTGTTTTGCTCTATGCTGTTGAATAACTGTTATTCTACTGTTTGTCGCATGGCGCCGTAAAAATGGCGCCGTGGCAAGAGCTCTGGTGTGTGTCGTCTTCTGGTGCACACCGGGGTAGTCTTGCACAGTTTTCCAATGTGGTTTTACTGCAAATGGCAAATAAATGAATCTGAATCTGATGTCAGCGCACGTCATTTTGGACCCGCCCCCACTGGTTTCAACCCATTATTCAGCAGAAAACACAACGACTCATTGAACCATGAATCCATGTTTCACTCTAACTACAACGTTTAGTATAAGATATAGATATGACAAATACCATCATGTTTTAGACTTTAGAACCACAGACACACGTTCAGTATGTGACCTACATAGCAACACTAAGCGGCCATGTTAGATGGAAGGTATGAAACTTTATACAGTCAGATTCAACACAGTGGCCGAGAGCGCACCTTTACTTAGACTGATGAGAAAGTTTTGCTGCGTCTTTAATTATGGTAAACGCTCAGAGCGAGACAAAGATGTCTATTTTTTTTAAATACCGGCCGTAATTTGCCATCAAGGAAAAGAAACTATCGAAAAAACGACGGCAGCAATGGTTAGCAAGCTAGCATTTGTGACGATGCAGTTCAAAATGGGGAAATCAATAATGTGTTTGTCTGTTTTCACCTAAGTTAGTTGTTCTAATAAAAACATTGCGTTGGAGTAAAAAGTCTGTCAGTGACGTGCTGTTGGTGACTGAGGCACTGACTTCATCACAATCAGATTTAACGCTACATATCAACAGGACATACAGAGGATTATTCACACATGGTCCGCATTAATGCACAAACAAAACGCCAAAGTAAAAAGCACATTTTAAAGTGTGTTATGGTCTTACCTTATATGCCCTCCATACACGACTTCATTTAGTTCAGACAAGTTTCATGTTTAAGTCCAGATAAAAGTTTAGTATAGATATGTAATCCTCCGTTTACAATGTAGATTATGTAATCCTCGATTTGGAAATAAGATTCAAAAAGTAAAAAGAACAAATATGGGTGTTTTTCTAGCTCCATGCTGCAGCCCCAACTTTTGGGTCCAAATCGGGTGCGTCCAATTTGTTAAATCTCCTTTCTTATCCTTTACTTCACGTCCGTATCATTCCTATCTCATTATCTTTTCTATCTTAACATGTATTACATGTAAAGTTCAGTTCCATCCATTCCATCTTCTTCCGCTTCATCCGTTGCCGGGTCGCGGGGGCAGCAGTCTAAGCAGAGACGCCCAGACTTCCCTATCCACACACACTTCCCTCCAGTGTGTCCTGGGTCTTCCCCGGGGCCTCCTCCCGGTGGGACGTGCCCGGAACACCTCCCCAGGGAGGCGTCCAGGAGGCATCCGGAACAGATGCCCGAGCCACCTCAACTGGTTCCTCTCGACGTAAAGAAGCAGCGGCTCTACTCCGAGCTCCTCCCGTGTGACCGAGCTCCTCACCCTATCTCTAAGGGAGCGCCCAGCCACTCTGCGGAGGAAGCTCATTTCGACCGCTTGTATCCGCGATCTCGTTCTTTCGGTCATTACCCAAAGCTCATGACCATAGGTGAGGGAGGGAACGAAGATTGACCGGTATAATCGAAAGTTTTGCCTTTCGACTCAGCTCCCTCTTTACCACAACGGTCCGATACAGAGACCGCATCACTGCGCACGCTGCACCGATCCGCCTGTCAATCTCACGCTCCATCCTTCCCTCACTCGTGAACAAGACCCCGAGATACTTGAACTCCTCCACTTGAGGAAGGACCTCCCCACCCACCTGAAGAGGGCAAGGCACCTTTTTTCCAGTCGAGCACCATGGCCTCGGATTTGGAGGTGCTGATTCTCATCCCAGCCGCTTCACAATCGGCTGCAAACCGCTCCAGTGCATGTTGCAGGTCCTGGTTCGTTGTAGCCAACAGCACAAAATCATCCGCAAACAGCAGAGATGAAATCCTGTGGTCCCCGAACCGGACCCCCTCCGACCCCTGGCTGCGCCTAGAAATTCCGTCCATGAACACAGTGAACAGAACCGGTGACAAAGGGCAGCCCTGGTGGAGGCCAACATGCACCGGGAACAGGTCTGACTTACTGCCGGCAATGCGAACACAGCTCTGGCTCCGGACATACAGGGACCGGGCGGCCCTCAGCAGAGGACCCCGGACCCCGTACTCCCGGAGAACCCCCCAAAGTACACCCTGGGGAACACGGTCGAACGCCTTCTCCAAATCCACAAAGCACATGTGGACAGGTTGGGCGAACTCCCATGAACCCTCGAGTATCCGATGGAGAGTATAGAGCTGGTCCAGTGTTCCACGACCGGGACGAAAACCACACTGCTCCTTCTGAATCCGAGATTTGACTATCGGCCGTGGCCTCCTCTCCAGTACCTTGGAGTAAACCTTACCAGGGAGGCTGAGGAGTGTGATCCCACGATATTTGGAACACACCCTCCGGTCCCCCTTCTTGTAGAGAGGGACCACCACCCCGGTCTGCCACTCCATTGGCACCGCCCCCGATCGCCACGCGATGTTGCAGAGACGTGTCAGCCAAGACAGTCCTACAACATCCAGAGACTTTAGATAGTCAGGACGGATCTCATCCACTCCCGGTGCCTTGCCACCATGGAGGCTGCCAACCACCTTGGTGACCTCTGCCAGGGAGATGGAAGTATCCGCCCCAACATCCTCAGCCTCTGCCTCCGGGACGGAGGACGTGACGGGGGGATTGAGGAGAACCTCGAAGTATTCCTTCCACTGCCCGACAATATCCCCAGTTGAGGTCAGCAGCCCTCCACCCGCACCGTACACAGTGTTGGCAAAGAAATGCTTCCCCCTCCTGAGGCGCCGGACGGTTTGCCAGAATCTCTTCTAGGCCGACCGATAGTCATGCTCCATGGACTCTCCAAACTCCTCCCAGTCCCGGGTTTTTGCCTCTGCAACAGCCCGGGCCGCGGCGCGCTTGGCCTGCCGATACTGGACAGCTGCCTCAGGAGTCCCATGAACCATCATTGCTCGATAGGACACCTTCTTCAGCCTGAGGGCATCCCTTACTGCCGGTGTCCACCACCGGGTTCGGGGATTGCCGCCGGGACCAGCACCAGAGACCCTGCAACCACAGCTACGAGCCGCCGCATTGGCGATAGAGGAAGAGAACATGGTTCACTTGGACTCAATGTCCCCCTCCTCCGCCGGGACCTGGGAGAAGCTCTCCCGGAGGTGTGAGTTGAAAGTCTGTCTGACAGGGGGCTCAGGGAGACGTTCCCAGCAAACCCTCACTACACGCTTGGGCCTGCCAGGTCTGACCGGCTTCCTCCCCTGCCAGCGGATCCAACTCACGACCAGGTGATGATCGGTTGACAGCTCCGCCCCTCTCTTCACCCGAGTGTCCGAGACACGCGGTCGAAGGTCAGATGATACGACAACAAAGTCAATCATCGACCTCCGGCCTAGGGTGTCCTGGTGCCACGTGCACTGGTGGACAACCTTGTGCTCGAACATGGTGTTTGTGATGGACAAACCGTGACTGGCACAGAAGTCCAACAACTGAACACGGCTCGGATTCAGACCGTGCGGGCCGTTCTTCCCAATCACCCCTCTCCAAGTGTCACTGGCATTTCCCACATGGGCGTTGAAGTCCCCCAGGAGAATAACTGAGTCCCCGGTTGGTGCACCGTCCAGTACCCCTCCCAAGCACTCCAAGAAGGGTGGGTACTCTGCACTGCTGTTAGGCCCGTAGGCCGTCACAACAGTGAGAGACTTGTCCCCCACCTGAAGGCGGAGGGACGCGACCCTCTCATTCACCGGGGAGAACTCCAACACGTGGCGGCTGAGATGGGGGGCAATGAGAATGGCCACCCCAGCTCGCCGCCTCTCCCCGCGAGAAACACCAGAAAAGTGGAGCGTCCAACCCCTCTCTACATGTAACATGTAAAGTATGATAGCCAAACCTGTAGCTGCTCTCA